GGTAGGTCGAATCACCGAACTGTGAGCAAACCGTGAGTGGTTTCAATTTAAGCAACGTTGTAAGAAACATCTTCCAGATCCATTTTTCGTGCGCTATTTCGCGTACGCTTTAATTCCCGAAAGAAAGACATCAGGAGAGAGAACGAATCAAGAAAGCGTAAGAAGGACACGGGGTTTACGACGTTTTCCCGTCTAAGAAAATCTTTTCCACCGAGGGCAGTCCGAATTTCCGAGAAAAGATTCGGAGAGCGTGTCTTCTCCCGTCCTCCCGGTTCTTCCTCGTGTCTCTGACAGATACGAAGAAAATGAAGGGAGAGAAGCTAAAGAGATTTCCGGAAATTGTGCGCGAGGCGAATTCCGAAAATGGATAAAACTAAACACCGTTGTGCTGAGAGAGAAGCTCGCACACGCGGGCAGGGCTGAGAGTTCGAAATATTTCGCACAGACGAAAACCCCCGATGCCGTTTCCGCGGCCACTCAAACGGAGAGAGAGAGAGAGAGAGTCGGGAGAAGAGAAGAAGGAGAGTATTCCGAAAATGCACTAGGGCTCTCTCTCTCTCTCTCTCTCTCTTTCTCTTTCTCTCTTTTAAGACGAGAAAAATCAGAGCGAGTCGGCGCCTTATCTAGATAGGCCGCCATTCCGCCTCGGAGGAGAGGAACGAAGGAAACGCTCGCGCGACAAAAACCCAAGGCGGAAAAAAAAAAAAACGAAGACGACGGGGAAAGAAAAAGAAGAGGGGAGATAACTGCTGTATTAAGATTGCTAATCTAAATGAACGCGCTCGTTCCGGTCCAGCGGCGGTTTATCCCCCCGGCCGTTCTTTTTTTAAACGTCTTAACGGCGTTCTCAATGATCGTTAAGTCCGAGTTTTCGGTTGCCCCGACGACGAGCGGGTGATCAATTCTTTCGAGACTTAGCTTCGGCAAAACGAAATCCATTTCTGGAAACACGATAACAGCGATCGATCGGCCAATTAACGCAATTCGCGTTTAATTTTTCAGCAGATCCGACAACAGTCAACCTCCCCCGACGCGAGCTAATCCGCCAAATCCAAAAGGCAACCGGTAATTACTACTGCGTATATTCTGTTCCCCGTTGCCCGGCGTTGTTAAATCCGTGTAACAAACTACACATCTAAATGCGCATAACGATGAGCACAGTTATCACCCCCCCCCCCCCCACAGAGCTATTAGTATATTTTTATTCCCGCTTAAAAAGAGATCTAGACTCTTTTTACGGTTTTGGGGTTTTAAATAATATCAAACAAAAGAGGGTTGGAAAAAAAACACTTGGGGTAATTTTCAATCGTTGTGCGATTATTATCCTTTCATTAAGACTTGACGATATGATAAAAACACGCGCGCGATCGCCCGTCCATCGATCAAATCGGCGCGCGATGAGAGAACCAACTTTCCAACAGATCGAAAGCTTGAAAGCAGGCCAAACTCTGCGTGCGCGAGCGAGTTATTTAAAATTGAAATATCGAGAGAGTGCTTCGCAAAGAAGCGGTTTAATTGAATTTAGATGTATTCCGCGGCCAAATACCCCGTATCGCGTCGACTCGCGACAATCGGCCGAGCTATTAAATCCGGTCGAGCTCCGACTTTAATTTCGCCGCGTGCGGAACGGGAACGCTTTTACCGCGGCCGCATCGAATAATTTGGCGGACGCACGTTGACAGATATGCGGGGATTGGAAGCGACGCCGAGCAAATAGAATCGGGCGTGACGAAATTAATTACTTTTTTCCCCTCTCTTTCTCTCGCACTCTTTTTCCTTCTCTTCTCTTTTCTCAATCCCTCTCCTCTCCCTGGAGAGAGTCGCCTACTCTCGTACACCTACTTTGTTCGACTCCCTCTTTTTTTGCGTTTCTCGTTTCACCGTCCCCGCTATCTCGCTACGTCGGTCGTCGTCGTCGTCGTCGTCGTCGTCCCGCGCGCTTTCACGCTCGGTTCTCATTAGAACGATTCGTCCGGCCGGTTTACTCGGCAGCTTCGGCAAGTCAAACGTTGTAATCGGAGCGTGTCCAGTCGTCGTTAGTCTAACTTGCGACGAAATTAAAGAGGATCCTCTTGTTTTTTTGTTTTTTTTTCTTTTATCTTTTTTCGTTTTTTCGATGCTTGATTTGACTCTCAGTCGGATACGTGTTGAATAATCGAAAAGTCTTACGCGCCGTGTGTAATTACAAACCCGAGCTCTAATAGAAAGCAAATAGAAGTCGGTAATGCGATAACGTGCGCTCGACAGCAATTTACAAGCAAGTGGACGCAAACAACACACAATTGTACACAACAAATCGCAAAGTTTGCTGATGTGTAGAATTTACAGTTAACGTAGTGTCAATTTTTTTTTTATTCAACACTTGCAAATTTCAACCTACCAGATTATTCTAGCGCCGATATGTATTGGCTCGGTGTAAATGCGATTCTCGCATCTCCGATCGAATACAAGTGCTGCTCCCAAAAGCGATCTTGTGAAACTCAAGCGTTAAAAGTTTTAACGTTCAGATTGAACGTTTTCCATTTTGTAGAATTGCCAGTCTGAGAGCGTGATGTAGACGCGGCGCAATTAATAAGTCACTGTCGAAATATTCAACAATCGAGTTGCTTTCTCGCAGCATTTTCCGAGACATCCTCTTCTTCGGTGTGACGCGGCGTAGTCGAGACGCGCTTTCTTACGTTTCCGCCTCGCGGTGCACGATCTTTCGAGAAGAGACGCCGTAACGGTGGAGCAGGTGCGTCTCGGGGAAGAGTGAGGAAATACGCGAGATGAAGCGGCGTTTTCTTCAAGGTGGCGGAGAGGAAAAGGGGTGGTTGTGACGGGTGGAGTGTTGGTAGTTCTCGCAGAAAAGACCGAACGAGCTATGAAATACGACTCAGCTATCCTCCAACGCCAACCGCCGTCCGACGTTTCTGGAGGCGTCGGCAGTCACCTAATGCGGATACAATGGTCGACAGTTGTTGCCGGCGCTTCTTGCGCGTCGCTTTTTTGCGCCGCGCCGAGCGCAACGGGCCAGCTGCGTTCCTTTCTCGTCGCGACAGCGGGAAAAATTCATTCGCGACGCGGTTAGGCGCAAAGTCTTTTACAAGCAGCTCTTTCTCTCTCTCTCTCTCTCTCTCTCTCTCTCTCTCTCTCTTTCTTTCTTTCTCTCTTTCTTTCTTTCTCACGACAAAGAGATTAATTAACCAGCGTCTTCGTCTTTCCTACGTTTTTTAATTTCTCTATAATTGACAATTTCCATTTGCGGCACAAGCCGACAAGAGAAGAATAGCAGTAACGAGTAAAAAATAGCTGTTTTTTATCGCCATTGCGACACAGCGCGAGAACGCAAACTGAAAGAGCCTCTGAAGCTTAAATCACGGGAGCGAAGGTGTATAAGTGAAACGTATAAAACCATTACGGTTATCCCGAGGTAAAGCCGGCAACGTCATTAGGATCCGCTCGATGGTCGTGGCCGTATTGTTGCCGCACGTTTGTGAGTCGCCGCGTTTCTATTTTCACATAACGCACACACATCTCCCCGAGAGAGGGTAGGCTTTCTCCTCCGCGGTCGTTTTATCGATACGAACGACGCCCGCGTGCCTGCAGATCGCCTGATTACGTTCTCCGGAAAATCATCAGCGAACTTCCTCAACATCCTCTCTGCTCGCGCCCGCCTCGTCCTCGCCCGTTTCTCGTCCTTGGAAACTTCCCCGTTTCAGGCGCGAGCGTGGCCCCGCAAAGTAATTATGTAGCCGACGAAACATCCAATGCGGGATGCAACACAACTAGAAATACGTGACGAGATGTGGAAATTGGATACTCGCGTTCCTCTGTCGCGCGAGAAATTCTCGAGAACATTACGAAGCGCGAGACAATCTGATATAAATGGTAAAATCAGTTTTCGATAATCAATCAAGACTTTTTTTTTGCAATTTTCTCTTTCTTTTTTTTAACTTACTCTTGTATAACGCGCGAATATTTGGTTTTCGCTTTATTTCAAACAGACTTAAGCTGATGTAGATCAGTATGCAAACATTATTATTTGTGTCGATAAATGTGCGCGTTTAGTATTCACTTTACGCGTACCTACCTGTCTCGTCGTCAAGTACGTGAAAGATTTGCATATTAGTATTTAAATTTTTAGTTTTCTTTCAGTTTTCTTTCAGTTTTCTTTTGTACTTTTTTTGTATTTTGTGCACACATATATGTACGTATGATATATATATATATATATATATATATATATAATAAGTATTATAAGTAATACTAATAGTTATTTGAAGATATACTACTACTATACATTGGAATAAACTTAATTTGTTATTAAATTGTATTAATCTTTTAATTGATGTATTTGCATTTATTTATGTACAAATATAGTATCTACACATATAATATTTAGTTGCATATGTTTTGGATGATACATAATATTTAGACGCGAGATGGTTGATATACAGGGTGTCCCAGAATTACCGTACAATCTCTCGTAGGCAGGTAGAAGGAATAAAACTGAGTCGGAAAGTCCTGAACCATTTTTTTCTATTATTTATAATAAAGGAGTAATTATTGAGTAAATCAGGCCAATCAGCGCCGATCTTTAGCCAGGCGCACGTCAGTGAGCCACGCGCCTGATGTGTGTGAGCACTCCGCGTAGTTCACTG